GAATATTGAAAGCATTGAAAACATTTTTTAGAGAAGTTTTCCCAATGTTCCCTTGGAATCCAAGTTTGAGAATTTGACAATGTACCCTTCGGCTCCTTGAATTTTACAGTTGCTCAAACGTATACCACATGTGAATATTTGAAAGCATGTTAAACGAAGTTTTGAGAATGTACCCATCGGTTCCTTTGAATTTTAGAGTTGCTCAAAAGGATACCACATTGTCCAGTGGGGGTGGTGGACCTAGCGGTCATGAAGCCAATCTTTATTAGAAATGGTCAAACAGTGAGCTTACACAGTTTATGCTCTCCACAGAGATAAACAATTTTATGGATAAAAAGATGCTGAAAGTGTTCAGACCTGAAACGTTGGTTCGAACCCCGCAGACCAGAAAGTTGGGGATGGGCTTTTGTTCCCTTTCAATGGAGGAACCTAGGAATCTGCTTGGGACAACAAATTTGCATTGAACTGAAGCATCCCTATGTCATTGCTAGATTTGGTACAATTATTCCCCCAATGTGGACTAGTTTTGATGATGAATATCCTCCAAGAAAAGGCATCTCATTTAACCATGTGCCATCAAACTGAAGTCAAGATTTCCTTGGCTTGAAGTTTTATTTATATGAAAATAGAATTATTACATTTAGTTTTATGAGACATGTAGAATCGACGAAAACTACAATTTGCAATCCATTGAATTAATTTGGGAAGTCAAATAGCGAGCATCGGTGGTGGGGAGAGGTATTTACGCATTGGAAAGGTCTTGATCTTGAAGAGTGTGAAATATGCATGGAAGCATTCATAAAAACATTTACGCGAAATACTGGTGTACTGGTGTACTGGTGTACTGGTGTACTGGTGTACTGAGTGTACTGGTGTACTGGTGTACTGGTGTACTGGTGTACTGGTAGTACTGTGTGTACTGGTGTACTAAGGTGTACTGGTGTACTGGTGTACTGGTGTACTGGTGATACTGGTGTACATGGTGTACATGGTGATACTGGTGTACTGGTGTACTTGAGTGTACTGGATGTAGCTGGTGTACTGGTGTACTGGATGTACTGGTGTGTACTGGTGTACTGGTGATACATGGTGTGACTGGTGTACAGGTGGACTGCACATGGTGTACTGGTGTACTGGTGTACTGAGATAGATACTGGTGTACTGGTGTACGTGGTGTACT